GATTACTTGGACAGGTAGGTGGGCATTCACTAGGGGAGTGGGTAAGATGCGACTGTGTTCCTGGAGGAATAGGAGCCATCGACCATGTATTAAAGATGATAATAGTCTCTGGTGAGGCTGGACAGTGTCCTGTCTTCTGGAACCATCCATAGCATCATTGATTGATCCCTGTCTGGCTCTCCTTATTTCCGTCCTTGTTTTTGGCTAATCAGTATAGAGATGCTGTATCAAATTGGAGCAAGATACTTGATACTTGTATCAAGTATCAAGCAGAGGAGGTCAAGTTGGAAGCCACATGTGTGAGGTCCATCCATTGGCTGGGGCCTCTTTCGGAGAAAGAACGCTGGAATTTTCTAATATGCCTGGAGCCCTATTCATGGCAATAGGCATAGACCCCATTTCATGATTGCGTGGGTTACAGGGCGGGAGCCCAATATATTGTATCTGCCTTCTTCTCTCAAATAGGAGCTTCCAAGGGCAAAAACCATGACATTTATTTCTTCATCGTAGTGCCTTGCACTTAATGCATTTTAGCTCAATCTCCTCCCTCCCTCCTATCCTCTCTTGCTCTCTCCTTTCCTTTTCCAAGAAATCATAAGGGCCAGGTGCAGTGGCTCACGCCTGGAATCCCAGCATTTGGGAGGCTGAGTCGGGCGGATCACTTGAGGTCAGGAGTTTGAGACCAGCCAACATGGTGAAACCCCATCTCTACTAAAAATACAAAAATTAGACTGGCAAGGTGGCAGGTGCCTGTAATCCCAGCTATTCAGGAGGCTGAGGCAAGAGAATCGCTTGAGCCTGGGCGGTGGAGGTCCCAGTGTGCCAAGATCGTATCACTGCACTCCAGCCTGGGCTGGACAGAGCAAGACTTCATCAAGAAAGAGAAAGAAAGAGAGAAAGAGAGAGAGAGAGAGAGAAAGAAGAAATCATAAGGAGCAAACCACAGAGGTGTCTGAATGTAGAGAGAGAGAGAGAGAGAAAGAAGAAAGGAAGGAAGGAGGGAGGGAGGAAGGGAGGGA